TGGGGGGGGGGGGGGGGGGGAAATCAGCTCCCCGAATTCTAGCCGTCATCGGGAGTGCAATACAAAATAATTTCAAATTTAACAAATGCTATAAATTTCGATTCTCGTGGTATACAGATTGGGTGTCACTAAAATAAAACATCCGGACTTTTAAAACGTTTTAAATTGAAAGGCTACCTCGGGACTCAATCCACTTCAAATATCCTTGAAAGAAAACAACTCTTATTAAAATGTATAATTCAATACTTCCCAGCACGCAACTCGTATAGGGCTAAATATCACCTTAAATCACTTTCACAGCGCCAGTCTGCGGCAATTCGGCAACAGACAAAGTAGTTCTGGTATTCAACCCGCGTGTTCAAGTAACAAAGAAAGTCCTCTCATTCACTAACTCAGTTTTATCGTCAGGAACCACATTTTGAAACAGGCGGAAAAGACAGACGTTCGTTTGATCGTGTCGGAATCTACTAATATTAAACATGTGAAATTCAATAAATTATAACAAATACAGCCACTATATCACAGCTATATTCTACGATAAAAATGTTATTCTCATGACATACTATGACATTAGATCTCAGCGTTAAGATATTAAAGGTTTATTACGTGATTAATTTTTTTATAAAGTTATCCATCAATTGGGACACTCATAATAAATATATGCTCCATAAAACATCAACTAATGTACTTTTATCAAAAGACCGGAAAGCATAAAACCCGCTTGTATACATGTTATCAGAAACTATGCGTAAAGATGAATGAACAAGGTGTTACTAGCCCTGACATCAGAACAACGACTACGCTACGGGAATGACGAAAGAGGTTCAATTCCCAACAACGTAGTGCATTTCTCTTCGCCAAACGCCCAGACCGGTTCTGGAGCACACCCAGCCTTCAGACCCATGTGTACCGGGATTCTTTCCTCGCGAGTTAATCATTCATCTTCATACAATGCAATCGTTACGGATGTGCGGAGTTTCATCTCACATCCGTCTACATAGCCTCGCGCTTAATTAAGCAACAGGGCCAATCTTGCCTTCTCCTTTTAAAAAAAACATACTACATGACTGATTTTATCCCTGTGACTACACACACGCAGGTCTCAACGAAGGGGCCATCTCTCCCAACTGTGTGCGAAATAAACTGCCGCGGGAACTCGGCGCGACGTCAAGGTCCTTCGGAAATTGCTTATTAGCGTCACGACTGACCTTCATGATTTCAAAGCTCCCTCTGTAATTCCAGCAACGTACGTGCCTTGACTCACCTTAAAGTAGGCCGCGGTGGAGTTCCTCCCTTAACAGTAATTCACCTTACCACCTACCACTGCCACTACCAACTGTCAAATTCAGTCGTGCAGTGCCAAGTGGCGAGATAGACGACAAAGTAGCACACGACTCGTTGCAAAGACGTTATTTAGTTTTAGATTCGCTGCTTATTTCAAGGTCATTTTCAATGACGGGGGAAGGAAGAAACCGGACCTGGTCCACTTTTACGGTTGGCATACTATTCCAGCATTTGCAAACGAAAAAATGCTGTATGTAAAGCCGACATCTCGGACGAGATTCGAACAAGACACGTACACCTCGAATGCAACATAACCGCCACACCGCAAAACCGAGATAAAATTGCTAAATTCGTCGGTTACACAGATGTTTCCTCACCTGTGGATGTAAGTTTTCAGAAAAAAATCAATTCCATTCACAGACACGTGAGACATTAATCTAAGGTTGTGATGGCGACTAAAAATGTTTATTTTACGTGAAAACACACGTCCTGTAAACGAAATGAATTACAACAAAAACACTTGTTCCTGGTTCACAGACTTTCCTTGAAGCGTCAATCATTCTAACGCATTTTTCAACCCATTTTCTTCAATATCAAATCTGAAGTTTTACTTCACATACAAACAGATCACATGAAAATAACACAGTGCCTGAAGGCTGCTGCACGGCGTGGGACGAAATACGAATAAAACTATCCAGCACTTTGCACTGCGGGGGCGAGGAGGCATATCGAAATCTCATTCTAAACATTGTCATTACATGGAAATAAGGTTCATTTTTGCCCCAAGCGGAAAGAGCTAACACCCGAGGGGACCCATCAGACAGCTGGGTGCGCCCACAACCGATTTGGACATGGAGTGTACGGTAACATCCCGCCCAACAGTCATCGTACCCTGGCTATTGCATCCCGCAGCCAGCCACATCACCAGCGAAGCAATCCTAACTCATGACAGACGATAACGTATTCAACTATTTTAACCAGGGGTTATCAACAAGCGCTTTGTCACCTTGCTACTGCAGCCTGTCGTTATAACTCTTGAATTCCTTCAGCTCGATTAAGAACGTCAGATCAAGAGCAAGGACGCGTCTCACTTGGAACGCCTGGAGAGATGTACGCGAATCGCAACGAGAGATATTAAACCCGACATTCTCAAGCAAAAGCGGTGTCTAATGTTTCAAAATGACTGATTTTTGTCTATGAAAATTTACTATTTGCAACTGTAGTAATAATTAAGTATCATTCTTTGCACAAATTATCATGGCGTTTCAGTAAATTGTCTTCATTTATAACTTTGCGGTCCGCGAGTCGATAATAAGGGGCAAATGTTACCCCAGGTATGTTAAAGATTGAGAACCCTTAATTTCGGCCCTACTAGACGGACTGTTCTTGCGTTTTGTTTCAGACTACCTTAAAATCACTGGGGGTTTTTTCCTACTGGTGCACGAACTGTGATGAATAACACTTTATTATTAACCCATCACATAACACTGCCACAAATTACAAATAAATTAATAATGGATTATGAACTGAGAAGCTCAGAACCTAGGTCAGGAAAACCAACACAAATTTTTATTGAAAGTGGGCCCACGTATCTGCACCCACGCCCGCAAAACCGTCAGATTCTCAAATATTATATAATAATAGTTTACTCCTGCGATAAATTTACTGTCCAAATTATAAAGTATGTATATAATTTCCCCAAGGTTTCTGTGAACAGAAAAAAGTAACACGAAAGTTCATGTAAAGATTCAAACATCGCCCAAGAAATGGCGAGTTTCGTAAAATCAGAAACTAATTACGATATTTTGTTGTACAGTTACGTTGGCTTAACATGAGTGGACTCGTGGCAGCACGAACACAACAATGGCCTCTCACATTATATGTCATTTCTGGCAGTCAGCAGGGTTAATTAAGCCTTGCATTCTGTCCAACCAATTCAAATCTGATCATTACAACGACATTTGGCTCAACTGCGCTAGGGTAGGAAATCAATATGTTTAATGTTTCAGTACACTTTTCCACAAAAACTGACTTACTACAATAAGTTTGTTAAGGACAGAAACCGAAGTCAAGTTCGTTTTGCGTAAATATTAGAATGGACTATCATTGTAAACGATTTCATATTACTGTTTTGTCATGAAACCAATCCCACTTACATTTTAAATCTACTGAAATCAAAGAAAAATACCCTAAAGACGTATCATTCTAAACCGACAGTTTTGTTTCGTCATAAGCTGTACTCAGTTTATTTCTCCAGTTTTAATTCATTCTTTCATAAATAAATTTAACTTCATGCACACACACTTAAAATTTACTACTTTTTGAAAATGCTCTAATTTAGCACCAGAATTCCATTACGGCACACAAGCGACACCGTTCATATTGTTTGACGCCACAGTCAGCCGATGTCTAGTGCACAATTTAACACGATAGGACAGACTACAACCGTGTAAACACAATGAACTATGGCAAGGCAGTCATCGTTTTCTGCACCAAAAATTATGGGTTTGCAGGACAAGACATTAAAACTTGTAACATTTCTGTATGTTTACACGTCACCATTATTGATCACTGACAAAATATGAAATAACTACACTACGAGGTTAAGAATTAAGTATACTGCAATAACATGGAAACGAGTTCCTCTTTAATTTTCTTTGTCAATCAGGCTTGTGTTCATGGTACTGAATCGTTTAAACATACACTTCATTACAAGCGACGAACACACAATTTGGTTTATTTGCAACAGTCTATTACGCATTAATTTTTGTTTCAGCTGTATATTAAATAACTTAACAAAAACAACAGGTCAGCCAAAATATCTGCGTCTTATTCCAATCATTGTAACGACAAAAACAAATTGCGTAACTTGTGTATCGCAGGCACAAGAATACAAAAGTACGCCACCTGCTAATGAAATCGGCAGAACAAGTTTTTTTTAACACCGCATAATAACTTCACTTGGCAAGGTATAAAACACAATTTAAGAAACACTGAAAATATTAATTATACGATGCAAATCCTCTTTTAGAAACGTTTGCAACAAATGTTTTATTGGGTTTCTAGAAGTCTGTTCTACCACAACCTCAATACACTTGTTATTTGTAATAAAAATACACTGTTCCTAAATTTGCACAATGCATTGTCTTCGGAAGACGACGGAGTTTCTAAGGGAGAGAACATGACTTCTCTGCAAAGAATGACTGGGCGGGCACACTTAATAAACATCACTATAAACTTTACTTACGTTCCAAGCAGCTCCTTCAAGTTGTATTTGTCTTCCACGGAGGGCTGTTTATCTGAATCCTTTTTCGATTTTTTCGTGGAATCCTTTTTACCAAACAGTGGCATCTTGAACTAAATGTCTTTTTTGCATTCACGTCAAGAAAGTGACAGTACTTGTTATGGATTAACACGCGTTCCAGTCCGTTTCGAGGCTGTCAGAATATTGAATTTTAAAACTCTGTTAATCAAGTTGTGAAAACGATTTTATGCATCTACTGAACAAGAAATAAGGAATAATAAAAGACTTACATTGTTTTAGGCCGCACATACAAATACAAATATGCTCACTGCTAGTACCCTCAAACGCGTACTATCAGCAAACTCGTTAACAAACGGAGGGACCTAGGAGACACAAGTTAGCTCATGGATTACCGCGGTAGTTCAAGGAAACGGCGCTGACTAACAGCTGAACAGTGTTCGCACGCCATCTGATGTATAATATTTATACTACGACTCCGACATCTCTGCCATCTCATGGTAGAAAGCAGTGATTTCTATAGAAATAGTGTACGCTCTTCAACGTTCTATTAATTAATTAATCAATTAACTAATTGCTGATAATTTCGAGCTAATTGTTATAAAAGTAATCCCAAAATAAATGTGAGATAAAAATGGGAAACTTCAAAAATCTTTTCAGTACTGCGTGATTTGAAATAACAGAAATGTTAAGATTTTGATTTGAATTGGAAAGTAGTGGGTAGGGAAAAACGTTACATATTGTTATAAATATTCCACTATCTTCATCCCTGTTAGACCAAAATACTTTTGTAATCAGTTTGCTTCCTTGGATATGCACTTAAATATATTTCAAATACAAACAACCCTCCTATCTCATTGTCTGAGAATTACTAGAATGCCGTGTGGGATGTGTATTTTGAGAACAGATGAATAAATGTCATAAACAAATCAAATTTTTCACTTATTTTCATACAAAGTCAAGGTGTATAATAAATAGGATATTACATCCAAGTCCCTATACGCCTTCACGGCATGGCGCTTAGGTACCGATGGAATTTTTCTTTTACTATATCTACAGAATTTTATCTTAAGATTTATTTTGTTTACGTTTACTTACTGTGCATGTAAGGAAAAGCATTCCAAAGAAGAGCCACATGTTAGTTTTGAAATTTAGGTGTGCACGGCGTTTGATTTCGCTTCAGTCATCTTGACTATAGAACCGTGTCGAGATTGTGAACCGTACCGTAGCTGTATCCTTCCTTAGCGCCGAAGTCTTTCAGAATAGTTTTATGCAATTTTCATATTCATCATGTTTACTATATGTCCCACACATCTGATCTTCCCAGATTCAATCGCTGTAATAACAATACATGTCATTAACATAAATTATGAATTATTCTCATTGTGTAATTTTCTCCATCCTGTTTCTTTCCCATTATTCAGCTTTCTGTCTTCAGTCTGTTCTACCTTTAGAATGAGAGAGACCAAATGCAAGAACAAAAAATATCTCAAGTCTCTTCTTTCTCACATTCATGATACGACGTTCTCACGATCCAATGTTGAATTTAATTCTAAGTGAGTTTAAAATTCCCGTAGGCATCAACGTGTGGATATAATTAGGCTACCATGTAAACCAGGTAGGTCTTTTCAAAGAAATTCAGGACCTCCGGGCTTCTTTGTCTGGAGTTCTCTGATACTCGCCACACAGTTACAAAATAAAATAAGGTTACCGAAGCATTGTTCTTAGACTTATAGTAATTTTAACGGCAATTAGTTTACCTACCTGCGGGTATTAAAATAGGCCAGTCTGTAATACGAAGGTTTACTTCAGTACACTTCACATCAGATCGCCTCTATGAATCAAGATCATACAAAACCGAATTGTCCTAAAAAAAAAACTAAATATTATGACGTTATACATCCGTCTCCTGTCACTGCTATAGGCCTGTTGAAACTTTTATTTACCACAGAAAGGTAGTAGCCAGAATGTTTTGTTTTCTCGCACTTCTCTGTTTCCTTCTTCCTCTTTTACGGACTAATTCGTGGACATGAAATTGTAGCGTGGTGGTTCACGGGGACTCACATGCCTGTATGTTTTACCTCGGCCCTTCACTATCTTATATCGTGTGAGAGTGAGCTAATATTGAACATCGAATATTTACAAGTGAATTGCAGACTGTTTTCTAGAAGTCTGTGAGCTGTTTGGCTATAAAACCCCTCGCCTAGCTGGGCGTATTGATCTGGCATAGTGCAGACAACGAACTCAGTTTTAGTCCTGCTTGCATGTGTGTCAGGGCTGGATACGACTTGTCCATCCATTCGCAATCTATTCTATGAAAATTGAGGGGAAATTCATAATTTAGAAACTAATGCTATGACGAAATGGTAATGTATCTAAATCTCACTCGTTTCAGGGAAGACAAACACGTGTTGCTCAAAGTATGCTAGAGAACTGTCCAACAGAGCAACTTTGCTTAGTTTAGTCAACGAAAACTTGCCCTTTACCTGTTCTACAATAAAACAGTTCAATGACCGGCCAGAATATTTATTTCAATACAACCGTATCAGCTGTGACAGCCCGGCAAATACTTTGAAAAACGAAAAATAAAAAGTATTTTATCTTATTTTCGAGATTCAATGGTAATCCACACACTGGAACACAGCAGAACCGACCAGATAAAATATATCGTTAGCCACCTCCAGCCAGCCAACCGGGTGTTGTTAGCCAGCTAATTTAGGTTTACGCTCGCAGTATTAGCCGGATAAATATGGCTAACACGGTTAATATTAACGTTTCGCCCCTGCAATGGAGCCTTACCTAATGAACGACTACGTCATTGAAGTGATTGGCGTTCCATCCGCAGTTGGGTTAAGGAATTTTCCCTTTCCCCAACAGGTCCAGAGCAAGGCTTTTGTTAGTCTCGCATATTCCAGCGTTGTCCTGTGGCAGGATGCAGTCGGATTATGAAACTGACTTTTGTCCTCCATCTAGTACTGAAATCAGACAACCATGAAAGAAGATTAGTAAATGACTGTTTAATAAAACTTAATTTTTGGTCTAATATTATGTAAAATAAATGGGATGATAATAGTTTTAAACTTGCCTAAATAATAACAGGCAGTTGATTTAACTTGTTTTACTGTTTATTTAATTTCAAAACGTAATTTTGTTTTAATAAAACGCAGGGCCTAAGAAGTACAGGTCCTGATAATGAGGTATTGATTGAAATGGATAAAGATTACATCCAGTAGTGGGGGGAGGAGGAGTTGTATTAGGTGTTGCACATTCGAGTTCTAACACCAGAGATTTAACCCTCAACCCTTAAGATATCTTGCTTAAAAATTAGCTTTATAAACTGGATTTGTTTTGCGTTTGAGGATATCGGTGAATAACATGTGTGTCGCCATCTGTGAATATCAATGCCTTATAGTCTGAGCTACTAAAAAGCGTCGTTAAACAAATATAGATGAATTAAAACGTCTGTGAGCAGTCGAATCCTATTGTGCGTGGCATTAAACAACGGAAATTTTTCTTCGCCATTGAAACATTGTCACAGAAGAATGTTCTTTAAATAAAGAAACAATACGGAATCTATAAATGGAGTCATGCACGGTGTGCGATCTCACACCCCTCTTAGAGCGATCCTGATTCATACACCAACTTGATTCTCTGGCATTTCAAAATGATTCTAGGACAATTTCCTCCTGTGCCCATTCGAAAGTCGGCAACACGCTTTGCCCGCTGCAACCTGATGGCGACGTGGGATGCTGGTAGACACAGACACAGCTCCCGGTTACCGTTATGTGTCTGAGGCCACTTCTAACATGGTGTTCATCTCCGAAATGTAACGTAACATACGAAAAAGTAAGACTACGCATCTACTTGAATATTCATTTAAATTTATTTACTGCAAATTCGATAGATTTTCATCTACGCCTTATAAACTGTTTGATTTAAAAATCATCGTTGAAAAACCTAAAACAAAAACTAAATTTTTTACAGAATAAAGATACAGCCTAATTGTCACCTGACTTTCAAAGTTTTACGTAGAACCATCTTTATGCACGCACTGGATTCTTTCATCCAGTGAACTTGTTCATGGGCTTCAAGAAATACTGTTACAGCACACTTTAAATTAACATTCCAGCATTTGCTTGGAAGATCTGAGATATTCAATAACGCCAGTATACAACGTAAATATTAATATTAGATTATCCAACGGGAAGTCGAACACGTAAATACTTAAAAAATAACCCTTCCAATATGCCTGTTACCTACATTTACCGAATGTTACAATTGATTAACATTTTACTTCACGAGATGGTAAAGTTGCGTCATATTGTGATATAATAAATATATATTATTTAAATCTTGTCCGTCTAATCACAATAAATTCTTATTAAATATTAAAATATTACAATAATTAACATTTAAAATATTTAAAATATTAAATGATGTTCTTTATCGAAATATTCGATTTACATTACACCATCGAATATTTCGATAAAGAACATCATTTAATATTTTAAATATTTTAAATGTTAATTATTGTAATATTTTAATATTTAATAAGAATTTATTGTGATTAGACGGACAAGATTTAAATAATATATATTTTACTTCACTCTCGGGATGTCTTGGAATCCGACACAACGAATGAAATTTGTTCGTATTTTATCTCAGTCCTTCCAGACAAATGCCCCGACAGCCGTCTGTTCAACAGATGTGGAAGGTATAGTCCTCGGAGGTAAAGTGGCAATGGATTTACTGCCAGTAAGAACAATTCAATATTACCTCAAAATTCTCTACACGCTATGATAATCCTACGCTTAGGTACAAGGACAACTTTAACCTCACTTACAGTAGCAAACAAATGTTTGACACTCTTGTCCTTAGGTTTGAAACCCAGACTCTCAGTGGACCACTGTTTGAAAAACACTGCGGTATTTTATTCATCCGTTATTTTGTTACGTTCTTTTTTCTTTGACGTGTGTGAAGCGGCGGACGATGGTAGCGTGGGTTCACAATCTTGCCGAACGGGTATAAGCAACATCTTGCAGAACGTAGGATGTGTTATATATACTCTTTGCTTGTGCCCATTCAAGTCCATATCAGGACTGAAACGTTTGAAAACTGGACTAGGAATGCGTGTCACAAGACTTAATAGAATCAGGCCCCAATGTAGCATGGATCACGCGCAGATAATTATATATCTTGCCACATCTTTCTTAACTGTGAAAAGAAACATCCCAATATCCCTGCCGGGAATCGAATAGCAGTCATTCAGTTTGAAACCTGATTTTTTTTCTCAGTTGCCACGCATGATTACAGTCAAGTATTTACGCTGAATGTACACACTGGGGGCGGAATGTTCATGATAACCGTGTTAGCCGCGCTAAGACGGTTAAAATAAACGATC